TGGAACATATACATTACCAGTGGCGGGTTTTGTTCCAACCCCACGACTTTCTGAAGGTCGGGGGCGACGTCGGGGCGGTGTGGCGCGTATTATTGCTCACATTCCCGGGGGGGAGATAAGACAATGTATACACCAGGATCCGTGTGCGCCAGGATCCGTTTCCCTGTGCGCAAGTCTGTGCGGAGCCGGAAAAAGCGTCGGCATGTGGAGCTCGGCTCCTGAGAATAGGTTGATGGGCCCCCCCCTGCAGCCAGGGGCGCGCTCCGCAGCGGAAGCGCGCCCGCGCGCGGAGGGCCCGCTGACGCCTGAGAGGGGGGATTGCAAGGGTCGCCCTCGGGATCGCAAGGGGGGGGCGGCACTGACCTTCGGCCCCTGGGATGACCCGAGGTCCAATGAGACAGTATTCCTGAGTCTGCCCCTCGGCGGCCTTGTCGGGGCTTTCTGGATTCCTCGGCTGACTCCCTGTGGTCGGGGGCGCCTCTCGTGGGGGCGCCTCTGTCTCGCGTCGGTGCGAGCCGCCGTGGCTTGGGGGGGGGGGTAGTTGGCGGCCCCTAGTCAGCCCCTCATGTTCCTCGTCTCCTCCTCCGGGGAGTCTCGCGGACGGGGGGTCGTCGGTGGTCTTAGCCGCTGACCTTCTTCTGCGCCCCGCCACCAGGGCCGCCAGCCCCCCCCTGTAAAATCCCCCCCCCCCCCCCCCGCGCACGCGCGCGCGAAAATGCGCGCGCGCGCGCTGACATTAACGCGCACACACACGCACAAACAAGCACGCGCGCGCACACACACGCACGCACACACACACACACACAATCACACAAACGCACGCATGCACGCACGCACGCACGCACGCACGCACACGCACACACACACACACACACCCACACACACCGCACACACACGACCACGGCACACACACACACGCACCGCACACCACACGCACCCACGCACCCCACCCGCGCGCACACGCACGCGCAAACGCACGCGCACGCACGCACGCACGCAAACACACGCACACACGCGCGCACACAAAACACGCACACACTCACACACACACACACGCACGCGCGCACGCACGCGCAGACACGCGCACACGCGCACGCGCGCACGCAAACGCACACGCACCCGCATACGCATGCGCACTCACGGACATAGACACGCACGCGCACGCACGCACGCACGCACACGCACGCGAGCGCGCATGCGCACGCACGCGCACGCGCGCGCATTCACGCGTGCGCACACACAGAACACACGCACACACGCACGCACTCCACAGACACACAAAACCACACCGCACGCGCACATACACGCGCGCACGCACGCACACACGCACGCGCACACGCACACACGCGCACACACACACCCACATACACACGCACACACACACGAACACAAACGCGCACGCGCACACGCGTGCACGCACACAATCACACACAAACGCACGCACACGCACGCGCGCACCCACGCACGCACGCGCACGCACGCGCACGCGCACATGCTCACGCACGTACAAACGCGAACGCGCACGCGCACCCGCACGCTTGCGCGCACATAGAGACAGGCACGCGCGCGCGGGCACACGCACACGCACGCACGCGCGCGCGCAGACGTACACGCACAAGCACGGACGCGCACGCACGCACGCACGCACGCGCGCACACACACACGCACGCACACACACGCACGCACTACACACACACACACGCACGCACACGCACGCGCACGCACACGCAGCCGCGCGCACACGCATGCGCACGCGCACACGCACGCGCACACACGCACACACACACGCACACGCACACACGCGCGCACGCACACACACACACACGAACGCACACACACCCGCACACACAAACAAACACGCACATGCACGCGCACACACGCACACACGCGCACGCGCGCGCACATGCACGCGCAGACACAGACACGCACGCACACACGCACACGCACAAACACACGCGCACGCAAACGCACAAACACACACGTGCACAACCACACGTACGCGCACGCACGCACACACACAATCACACACCGACGCGCGCACGCAAACGCACGCGCACATGCTCAGACGCGCGCTCGCACGCACGCGCGCGCATAGACGCACGCGCGCACAAACACGCGCGCGCGCACACACGCACGCACGTGCACACACGAACACACGCACACAGTCACACGCACACACGCGCGCGCGCACGCACGCGCGCGCACACGCAGACACGCGCGCGCGCATGCGCGCGCACGCGCACACGCACGCGCATGCGAACGGAGAGGGACGCGCACGCGCACGCGCGCGCACGCACGCGCGCGCGCCCGCGCGCGCGCGGCGCCCGCACTCGCGCGGGCGCGCGCGCGCCCAGAACACACGCAACGCACGCGCGCGCACAATGTCACAACACACGCGCACATACGCGCGCCCGCGCGCGCGCGCATGCACGGACGCACACACACGCACACACGCGCACACACACACACACACACACGCACACGCACGGGCACACACGCACGCACACACATAAGCACATGCAAATGCGCGCACGCACACGCGCGCGCACGCGCGCACGCGCACGCACGCGCACGCGCGCACGCACGCGCGCACACACAAACAC